CTTAAATAAAAAAAAAAGTAAAATTCCTAAAGTCCGAATGTATATTGACCTATTAAGACATTTAGAATTTTAATGAAACCTAATTGAATAGAAATTTGACTTCATGCAGCTATCTTAATTTATTTGAATCCCTTGGCCTGTTTTTTTATTTCATGCTTTTCTGTGCCCCCTTGAAAACATGCTGGCCCCCTCCTGGCCCCCCTGGTACATTTGGTCTAGAACCGCCACTGCTTGCAGGGCTTGCTGCTTTTTTTGGGCTCTCCACATATTCGCTGTTGCGATTTTAGTTTGGAAGTGAGTCAAAATATATATTCTACCCATAAAATCAAGTTCTAAAGGTATAGTGTAGGATGTTCTTTTTCCGGGTGGATCATCAAAATAAGTGGTCCTCCTAATTGTCAATCATTCTGGTGATATGTTTACGTAAGGTCGTCCTACGTGCTTGTCCTCATTTTCCCTTAGCTATGGTGAGTCTGACATAGTGGAAAAATTGCAAATCTTATTTTGGAAAGTAAGCTTGTATGAGCGATGCAAACAACAACTTTTAAACAGAGCTTGTTTGAGGAGAAATGGGCTCATGCACGCTCTTGCCCACGTTTAATAGGTGTTCCCTCTTGGGAGCGGGTACAGAGTTGTGCATGTGCATTGTTTTTTAAAAGTAGAGAGGGTGAGTCTTCTCAAAGATTTGTGAAAATCCTCCACTATACCTTTAAATAAACATACTTCTCATTGCAGTGCCGTAATTGACCTGAACTTAAATTTGAGTATAATTATTATGTTCAGGAAAAAATCCAGAGGAAATGTCCATCTGCCTCTTGCAAGGCTTGGTGAGTTGTTCACAGGGGTGGACATGAAACTCAAACCTAAACATATACTATGCTATATAAGTACAACTGTCGTCCTTTCTAACTGAAACTCTTTAAAAATGCTTTATTATAGAAATCTGAAATCTTAATCAGAAAAACTTTAAATGGCTCATTGCATCTTTCAGTAGGATCATGATCCAAATCAACAGAGAAATGTCTTAATGTTTTAGGGAATCTGAGTTAGGGTGAAGAGAAGAGAACATGGGAGACGTACCATGACTCCGATTGATCTAGAGGCAAAGACACAATTTCACAGATCCTTCTGTCTGTTTTCTCCAACTTTCTGAGATGCTCTAGGAGAAGAAGGACTTTCTGTCATGCAACGTGGTTTACATGGAGAGCAGACAGTATTGAATTGTGTGCATATCGATTTTGATCATAAAATTTTAATAAATTAATAATAAATTGATAAGATTTACTTAAATAAAACTTAGAAAACCAACCCAAGAAGAACTCTTGGAAAGAAATTACTTTCACTCTTGGGTGACAGGAAGAGATTTTAATAAAAGTAAAAAAAAAAAAAATGTAATTCTTCTTTCTGATTTGCTCTTAGTGGAGGGGGATGCTTTCTCTGTCTCCCTCCCCTGTCTGCCTCGCTTCAGCTCTGTGTCGTATCCTCTTTTGGAGTCTCTTTGTACATATCTTAAAAGACTGAATTGTGGATCTGGTCAGCTGGTCTCTCTATGCAACTGATCAAATGTTTTTGACGAGAGGACAGGGTAAGGGGGAACCCTCCCTGTTCAGACAGGGACCTTTTCTCCAGATACATAATGAATTCCCAGCAAAAAGGGAAGATTGTCTTCCTGCCGATGACTTCTGTCGAGGACGTAGAAAATGTGTGCATAACTAGTTTTTTGATAACAGGATTTCTGCTGTTTGTCATATTGTGGAATTTGGAAGACGTTAGCAGCTGTTTTGGTCATTCTTGGGTTGCCTGGCATGTAAGAGAGGATCTACAAGCTATAAACACTCAGACTGAGATGTTAAAGGGGAATGTTATGAATGCTGGCGTATCATAATGAATAAATTATAAACAGTTCAGTTTGTGCCTTCAAGTCGACTGTCCATAGGAAGATGTTACTTGGATATAATCTAACGGAATATCTTTAGAACAACTCCAAATGACGCAAAACTCATATGGGTGAGTAGAACATGATGTAATGACGGTTAATCAAGAGCCCAATGTAAAAAAAAAAAATAACAGCTTTAACCCTTTAAGGGAGCAGAATCGTTTGCTGGATGTGATCTTTGAACAGGATCATAGACTGGCTGAGGTTCCTGGACTCAGAGGTTAATTGGTATAATGAAGAAAGTTGTAAGTTTGGATCTGGCAGAATGGACCATCAATTTGTTCTATTCACCGTGTTGAGACACCAGCAAAAACTCTCAAGGTTGGCAAAAAAAATCATCAGCCAGCCTGACCCAAACAATCTGTTTCAGTCTGCAATCTGGTTTCCCACTGGCCTACAGAAGCCTTATTTACTCAACTTTCCCTGGATTAAATGTAAACATGATGCTATCCCCTCTGCCCCCCTCCCTTCCTTAAAGACATGGTCCATGTGCTGCCGGTCGATGAGCATTACACTACATCGTTCTATCAAGGACAATGGCCCCGGAAAAAGTGCTTCATTGACTTATTTTGCACACTCCACCATTCCCCCTGCAACATGCTTTGTTGTATCTGTGTTGTTTCTGAAGTTTTTTTGTTTTTGTTTTTTTGCAATTTCAAACTGTATCCTGCTAAGAAAAACTGTAAAATAAGATATTTTTCCCTCCCACTGGGAATCCGTACCCATTGTGATTTTATACCCTAACTGTAGGACAGGGCCTTTGATGTCAGCAAGGCCTCGGGCACCCTTTCCCCCCTATGTATAATATCTGTGTCTTGTCCTCTTGGACAGGCTGTAGTGAAACTGAATTTCCCTTTGGGATTAATAAATTGTTATTGAATTGAATTGAAAACTGCAGTTTTTTCTACTTCTCATATTGTTAGGTGTTGTAAGCTTGTGGTTTGTGGCGAAAAGCCACACAAAAGCTGCAGACGTTGTGTCGGTGCGTCTCAATACCACACATAAGGTGCAAACATTAAGTATAACTGAGCCTTGAGCAGGTAGCACAATGAGTACCAAGAAGTAAGGGAAGGATCCGTTAGGAAACAATGACCAGCAGTGGATTTAGATACTGAGAATGACACAGAGAGCAAGTGTGATAATGAGGGAATAATGAGGAGTAGCTGAAGAAGAAGGTAGGTAGAGAGGTGGTGAGAAGGACCCTTATAAACACAAAAGTGTCAGGGCTGTGTGTGTGAGTGGGAGTTTTGCATCTCTTCCAGAGAGGATCTTTGTGGAGAACCTGGGTATTCTACACAGGTGAAACTCATCAGTATCATCAGAGTGCTGGACTTTAAAGAGCAGCAGAGCCCTCACTCAGTGCTACTTTCTTGTTGTTTTGTTACTTTCTCAGTCTTGCTTCTCTCTGATATTTTCCCTTACAAATAAAATTTTTTTTTTTCAGTTTTTGTGTATTTTTCTGGATTTTCCCCTCAGTTGCCTGTTGTCTTTATTAAATCAGCAAAACTCACCTACCTGCTCTGCATTTGGGTCCTCAAAGCCTCCACCCAAACGGAAAAAAGGAGTCAAAGTAAGTTTCATGGAAACACCAAACCAAGGGGGAGAAATAAACTAGAATATAGAGGAAACAAAATTCAAGAAATTATAAAGAATCTAACATTAGATTAACAAAATAATAAACCAACACCTGGAGGACTTAGACAATAAGAAAGAAGATGGAGATGGAACATTAAAATATATGTATCAGTGGTAGTTTTCTATGTGAACAATTGTTTTATCATTAGATTTTTCCCTAGTGAATAAATTAACCTAAATCAAATGTTGGATTTTTCTAAATTCTTACCCTAAGATAATTTTTCTTCAAAAGAGATCTACCTCTACAATAAATAGGAGCGGGACAGAATACGGGATTAAAACAGAGAAATAAGAGGAATAAGTCTTTTTTTTTTCACAGAAAGCCAAACAGAAAAGGCTGTTTGTTTTCTTTGCTTTTGTTTGTGTGTTTTTCCAGATTGCTGCATATCTGTAGTGACCTACTTTATTTTGGGGTTTTCATTGTTTACTCCCTGTGCTCTGATTGTCTGTCTGACATGTTCCATTTACTGGTTTTGTTGGGACTAAAATACTGGTTACATTGGCAAAGTAAAACTGCAGGCGCTGTTTTCTTTTTTAACACAAGCACCTCCAGTGAAACAGCGAAATCCACCATCTTGTTTAGTAGTCAGACAAACTGATGTAAATACACAGTAAGTCAAGCTGAATGATTTTAGTTTTTTATTAACATGAAGCTCTAGCGAAAGTTCAATTGAAGAAACTCTGACTTACCTCACATCATCAGAAGCCGATCCGTCTCNGGGATCATCCCTATTCACATTCATCTACTCATGCATGTTAAAGCATAATTCAGCATGAATGTTCCTGCCGAGGTCTGAGCGCCAAAGACTATATTTTCTTATCAATAAATTCTTCTAATTATCTTTTCTCTCTGTGTGAGTTTTTCAGATTGAAATTCTGTTTCTATTCAGATCTGTGTTTTTAATAAGCTTAGATTCATAGCTAGAAGCGTCTTCGGTCAAATGATAG